GCCCGCCCGGGCCCCCCCTGCCACAACAACCATGGCGGCTACAACTGTGTCTGCGTTAATGGCTGGACGGGAGAGGACTGCAGCGAGAACATCGACGACTGCGCCATGGCTGCCTGCTTCCACGGGGCCACCTGCCACGACCGGGTGGCCTCCTTCTATTGCGAGTGTCCCCACGGCCGCACAGGTGAGGCCCCGTCCCATCTTGCCCCCTGCTCGCCGGGCAGGGTGGCAGCTCCCCAGATGTCCCCTGGCTCCTAGATGACGTCTTGGTGCCTGATGACTTCTGTGCCCATCACCCTTGACGTGCATCTGCCTTTTGCTGCCCAGGTTTGCTGTGCCACCTCGATGACGCCTGCATCAGCAACCCCTGCAACGAGGGCTCCAACTGCGACACCAACCCCGTCAACGGCAAAGCCATCTGCACGTGTCCTTCGGGGTACACGGGGCCAGCCTGCAGCCAGGACGTGGACGAGTGCTCGCTGGGTGAGCACGGGGGCTGAGCTCGTGCAGGCAGCTGGGGAGAGCACCGGGGCAGCCGGGAGCGTGTCCTGTGAGCTGCACTTGTGTCTTGCAGGAGCCAACCCTTGCGAGCACGCAGGCAAATGCATCAACACCCAGGGGTCCTTCCAGTGCCAGTGCCTGCAGGGCTACTCGGGCCCTCGCTGCGAGATCGACGTCAACGAGTGCCTCTCCAACCCCTGCCAGAACGATGCCACCTGCCTGGACCAGATCGGGGAGTTCCAGTGCATCTGCATGCCCGGTGGGTGGGCAGCCTGGTGGACCCCTGCCTGGCGCTGGGTGCGGGTGGTGGGAGGGCTCTGGGTGCTCCGGAGCTTCAGCTGAGGAGCCACGGGAGGTGAGTGTGCCTGGGAACGGCACCGAAAAGAAATTGCTAAGCAGAGATTGCGCGGTCTCCCACAGCGATGAGGGGATGGGAGCAGAGGGTTGGGCACCATCAACCCTGCTCCGGACACCTTCTCCTGCCCACCTGGCTGGCTTGGATCAAGCCAAGGGCAGGGAGATCCAAGGTGGATGACCATAGAGCAGCTTGTGCATCAGGTCCCACCACCAGCAGCACAACTCCTGAGCCGCCTTTGTAAAGACGGGGGGACCGAATACACCCTGGTGTAACCTGCGCGTTGTGCCGGCCCCGCGTCGCGGCGCTGACGGTGCACCGGGTCTCTCGGCAGGTTACGAGGGGGTTTACTGCGAGATCAACACGGACGAGTGCGCCAGCAGCCCCTGCCTGCAAAACGGCAACTGCCTCGACAAGATCCACGAGTTCCACTGCGCGTGCACA